CGTTGGTTTTCTTTTCTGCCAGAAAGTGGTAAAGTAGCAGGTTCCAGGCACTACAGATTTACAAAGGATCAACTACTCCTTATTTTCTGGGCAGGGAAAACCAAAACAAAACCAACATTTGATTTATTTATGATAAGTTCCTGTATCAGTTGCAAGTAAGGTGGAGTATTATATTTGATAATCATTAATCCTTGCTGGTTTTAACTCTGACACCTTTTTGTTGAAGCTAATATATGCCACTTCTCTAAATGGACCTTTCCTCTTTTCCCTTGCTATCATGCTTGCACAGATTTTGATCATTTCCAACTGAGTTGCAAGATCCTTATTTAGACTTGTTTCTTCTTCATAACACTATTCCTAAAATCTCCCATCAAAGCACCCCTTAGAATCACTTACCTTGTCTTTTTGACTTCATAACTCTGTGCATCATTTTCTGCCATCCCTATCAGCTTTATTAACCTGATGTTAAGCTGTTATTATTCCTTTGCTTCACAACCATTTGCAGTTCATTACTCCCACTGTTTTCCTGCAGTCATCCTTGCAGCTCTTTGCACTACATTTCTTATGGATGAGAAAAAGATAATACAGTTACTATTTTATTTGCTATGCAGGTGACTTTTGCAGACAAGTCACTTCCTTACCTACAAAGCTGTGCCTGTCTTTTCCTTTGTTATCTGCTTAATTACTAGAGTGTCTTTGTATTTACACAGAAAGAGATTCCAGTATAGACCACAGAACTCCAGTATCTGATCAGATCTGTACTGACTATCTCAGTACAAATAGCAACAACAAAAATTGTTGTGATCGGCAGTATTGGTAGAAGAAAGTCCAAGAATTTGCTTAAATATGTTGACTTTGGAAGTGTAAAAACCCTCCAGATTTAGGTCCAAGAAAAGATTGTTAAAAACTTTTATGTGCAGAAGTGGCTGAAGCCAAACTGGAAAGAAACCAAAAGGCAACTGAAAGGCAAAAACTGAAAGAAATGTTTGTAAACAGTGCATTCTGCATTCCCACTTTAGGAGGGAGGAGGGGAAAGGAGAAAGTAGTTGGAAAAGCAGGAAAGGTCAAGGATATTTTTGTGAAGATGGAGTTAGAGGCACTTGGATACGCTCATATTTGAGAACTAGCCAGGAGAGAACAGAAGGCTGAACAAGGGCAGAAGGATGAAGGTTAGCAGGTTGGAAACATTTGGATTCAACAGAGTAGAGAGAGCAGTTGGATAAAAAATCTGTTTGGTGATGGAAACGATAATGAAGAGGATGTTTGAAAGAGAGAAGAGTGGGGAGGTTGGATAGGATCTTGTAATATTTTTAACTGAAGCCAGCAAGATCTCACACAGAAAAACTTCTATGGTGAGAAGGGAATTAAATGAAGATCAAAGAACTTTGAGTTGAGGGATGGAGTTCTCAGGAATATGGCACAGCCAAAATACAGATGAAGTGTAGAAAATCTCTGTCTTTTGATTATTATCAAGTAGTGTTACAATGCCTCCTCAGGTCAGAATAAAATATCTCAGAAGGTTTGGGATGACTGACAGAAATATGGACTTTGTGGTGGGCTAGAGACAATAGTATCATGTCAGTGATTTGTTATTTGGTTCTAATGAGAAATTAAGGGAAAAAAGAATCTTCAGTGGGTTGTTTTGTTGGTTTTTTTTTTTTCTTTTTTTCTCATTGGAATAAGTGTTGCCCCTACCGAGGCAGTCAACTGTTTTTTTTTTAAATCCTTTAAAATATTTTACTTACACTTAAGGAATTTCCTTTCAAAATTACGTTAGGAGAAAAAGGTCTGCACATTTAATTTAAAAAATTGAAAGTGTTTTTACTCTTCTGATTTCTGTTTGTCTGTCTTGCCCCCCCCACATCCACTTAATTCAGCACACATTGTACTCTACCCTTGAAAGCAGTTAAAAATAAGAGAAAAAAAGAAAAGAAAAGCAAGGACAAGCTGTAGGTACACTATCACAGTTTAGATTATTCATAAAAATGAAAATAATGTTGTTTATAAACAGCTCTGTTGTTCTAGGCAAGAAACAGACTCCTTGTGCTTGAATTTTCCTCAAACCATCAGTGTGAGATATTTAACTATTTCAGAGGCACATTGTAAGCAGAGCAAAGAAGATGTTTTTAGAATCTTCCTTTTTATTCCTCAGAAAGCAGCATAACTGGAGACACAAATGCTGTCTCAGTCACATTTATCTCACTTTTAAAATAAAGATCTTAAATGACAAGGGAACTCTTAGATTAGTGTGAACAACCAAGCTGGTATTTAATGTTATGGCCACATCAATTTAATTTCTTTGTTTCTTTGTTCTTGTCAGCACAGTTGTGGGTTTAAATAGTAATTTGGGCTGTTTCTCTGACTTTCCCAGTAAAAATAAATCTGATGTCATTGCATGCTCCTTGGCAGGCCATGTGTCATTATTATAAACCACACAGAGATTTTTTTCTCATCCAGATTTTCTTTGCAGGGCCTTTGCTTATGACAGAGTTACAAAACGATGCCATTGGTTATCCTTCAACAGCTTGACAAACGGTGTGAGAAAGAAGCAAGACCATGCATTTGATCTGTATGAAAAGAAGGGTAACTGATTTATTTACTGATTTTGTTTTTCCAGCTATGGAGGGGGAAAAAAGCTAAGGTCAGTCAGTGATTTTATTGACTATAGGAACATTCTGGGCGTGGTATGCTTTTATGCATTCTGAAAGCTGCATCCTACAGTTTTATTTACAAATATCCTGGTTTTGCTGTCATGCAAGTTTGTCTACATACTTGCTTTTGCTCAGCTTTCCAACCTACATATTTGCCTACCATCACATATTACTAGTCTGAATTGCTACTTCAGTTTACTACTTAAAAACTCAGCTGTATGAGTTACTGTTACTGACTTAATATTGCCTTTATTTACGTCATTAATGAGTGTGAGACTTAAGTTCTCAGACATGGACTTTTGGTCAGTCAGACACTTTGGAAACATTTTCAGTAACTTTGTTTGGAAAGTTAGTGATCAATGTTTTGAAAAAAAAAGAGACAAGAATGTACGTGGACAATTAAACAGTATTTTGAATAATTAAGTATTTAAAGGCTATCAAAAAGATATTATTTTTATGTGAAAACTGATGATGAGCTCTAATTTGAAATACATTAACCAAACCCCTAATTTTCTTTTCTTTTCTTTCAATAGACTATGTCAGGAACTGTATCATTGGGAAAGGAGCAGACTACAAAGGAACAATATCTGTTACCAAAAGCGGTATCCAGTGTCAAGCCTGGAATTCAATGATCCCCCATGAGCACAGGTAAGAGTTCAGGAGCAGAGACAATGGGAATAATGCTCAGACAGCTTCCATAAAGCATGGTTTGACTTATTAGCAGACAAAGATTTTATGAGAAAACTGACCTTAGGCAACAAAATCTCTTAGGTGTATTCTTGCCTTTCCCCAAGAGATGCCTTTCTCCAGATCCCAGAAAATCCTTACCTTCTTGGGCTTTCTCCAACAAGGTCTCTCTTAATGCCAGCCTGTGTGTCTGGATCTCTTCCTTTCCTGTGTCAGTTTTTTTAGCTATGTATATCCTTTTGATCTCTTAGCTACTGGCAGAAACAAAACATCTGTGTAACTTCAGCCTGGGGTCTGGAAGTTTATCACTGTTTTCTAATAGACTGCCAGCAAATGGGTAATTAAAAAAAATACATTATTAGGAAGCGAGGGGTATTGGCCCACCTACTTGATCAGTATATAATTATTGTTACTATACTTTGCACAGTTACTATTTATTATTTGTAGGATATGTTAAACTCTATAAAGCACTTAGACCAGGCAGCAAATACATGGAAAGGACTGAAGAGATTATTGAAATCCTTTCCTTTCAATCATATGAGCAATGACTAAAGACTGATGCAGCAGGTATGGGACTTTTGAGTTTAAGACCTGATATAGTGAGGAACTGAGGACATATCTACACCTCGAGAGTAGACTTAGTTCAACTATATTGGCTAAGGAAAAAAAGAAAGCTAAAACCTGAAGCTAGTAAGAGTAATGGTAAAAACAGATTCAACTGCAACAAACGTTTCTGGAAACTAGCAGAAGGACTATGAAGTACTGGTCTACTCTTTGACCATTTCTCTTTGAACCTTTTCATATTGGCTTTAGCCATTTACATAAAAAACCCTTGAGAGCCAAAACCAAAGTGTCCTCTCAACCATAAACTTCCTACCCACATTGCTGCCTTTTGCTCTGGACTCCCAGCACCAGCACTTTGTTTAGGAGGAGCCAAGGTGGAGATTACTCGTGCGGAACTGGTCTGTGCACTGCTTAGTCCTGTCCTGACCAAATTTATCCAGTGTACCAGATGGTATCTTGGAACAACATTAAAAGGCAAAGGATACTTGGGTTCTCTCCTGTTATGATGTGTTACAAAGCTGAGCCTCAGGCTTAGACTTCACTGGACTTGGCTGCTTATAATATAGATGGTAGTGTGCCTGATTTTCAGTGTGGGACCAGACCCACTCTTAACTGTGAACGTATGATAAATATGATCATGTCCCGCAGCAATGATCTCTTGAGACTCAACCCCTTGAAGTATAAAATTTTCATCTTTTAGAAATGAAAGAATTCTCAATAATTGCAGCCTAAGCAAGAATGAGCATTTATTCTATATAATATGCATATGACTTTTTATAATTGAAGAAAGAAAAGTGTCTGGATAGTATATATTATCACTAAATTGCAGTTTAATATACAGCATACACAGCTTTATCTAATACATTTGGACAGCCACTCTTCTATGATGTATTTTATGAGAATGACTTTTCTCCTGCCTTGTGCAATAAGTTTAATTTTTAAAAGGTCACTGGATAAATGAGGTGGCTGCATGCTAATTTTGTTTTTCAACATCAGAAATTATGATTTCATCATCACAGACATGAGGGAGATGGGAAGAAGCAGACAGTAGTGTGCATTTGGAACTTATTAGTATGAAGGGCTTAGATTTTTAGGTCAGTTTTTCTCAACATCTGATTATCACAAAGTGCCATTGGAAAATAAATCCCTTTTTCATATTCAAAGGAGAAATGCATTTTACTGATTTTTCATTATCTTTCTAGAAAAATTAAAATAACTTCAGACTTTCAACTTGTGCTTGGATTTAACAAATTCTCTTACTGGCTTCAGTTTTTGGCTTTCTTCATTTTTTCCTTACATAATACAGTTGAACTAAATCAGCACACAGTTTTAGGAGTGGCTCTATCTTCCATTTCTGGGTGGGTCTTTACTGTATCTCATCTTTTCCTCCCTCAAGAATGTTGGTTCAGTACCTGTTGAAGCTATGTGTATATCTGACCCACCTTGAGTTTCTAATGCTACTAATTTAAACTTTTTTTTAATGTTCTGACAGCATATCTGATGTAATTTGAAATACCTTTTCCCTATATTTTCTGATGTACATAATTTCTGAGCAGAAAGATTTTCCAGCAGGAAAATGAAATAAAATTTTCTAATATGCATTGACATACTACATTAACACATACACAGGTTGCAACATCCCACCCAAAAAGTTTGCCCTGGGCTGTCTTTAGCTAAAAAAAATTGAGAGATTTATATTACAAGACTACAGAGGAAAACCAGAAGCAACAATTTTATAGGCAGCAGTAATGACATAAAAATTATTCTCTTCAAGCACCAAAAATAAGAAAAGTACTTTTAAATAATGCTTCCACATTGCCTTGACTAGGACCTCAATGTAATTAACAGAGGTATTTTCCACTTCAGTTAGTTCAGAGATTTCATTAATAGGAATAAAACATGATTAAAATGTCACATGTCAGAATTTTCTTTTTGTTTCTCTCTCTCTCTTTTTGAATTTTTAATTTATTCGTTTGTAGCATAGAATTTGCCAAGGACAGCAGGAACTATACATTCCTCTTCTGCTTTTGTATATAAATTAAATCAGTTTCTGTGTATAAAGACTCTCCCAAGTGCTTCATGTAGTTTTCTAAGCTGCGTCTACAGTCTTCTAAAAGAAGTTAGATGAAATTTTATTCCTCTTTTTTTCATCTAGAATATAGATACATTTGAATTCCCTTGGTGATTAAAAAAACCCACACCAAAACAAAACAAACAAAAAACCCAACCAACTCCCCACCCCCCCCCCCCCCCCAACACCCAAATAAAGTATTGGACATTTTCAAAATAAAAGGTGCACTTTACTTGTAATATTTCCACCAGAATTTAAATATACTGAAGAAAGAAACCTGGAGAATATCTTAGAAAGCTCAAAAATGTAATCAATTTGTTAAGTTGAATTACAAGTTTTGTGTGATCCCCTATGTATTTTGCCCAACTTTTCAATTAACAACAACAAAAAAATCTTCATGGAATTGGGCATAACTCTGAATTTAACATGTTTTTATTAAGGAGGAAATTTAGCTGCTGTTTAAGCATCACTGCAATGAAACAGGCGGTGAAGTGTCACTTGGTTTGTCTGCAATGCGCAGTCTGATGTTGTCATGAGCTCATGCAGTGGCATTGAACAGAACCAGCTCTGGGGTTGGGCTCCTTACTATGGGGTTACTGATTCCCTAGTTTGTGGGTAAAAATAACTAGTATTACTTTTAAGTATAAATATATATATATATGTGCCTACATATATATATATCTATATGTCAGTATGTATGTGGGGGTTTCTCTAGAGGTAAGCACATAATTTTACAGACAGCTAAGAACACAAAACTTTGACCCTGGAGAGTTTATATTTGATGGACGGAGCATAAGCAGCAAAATCTCACACTGAAAATGTGTGTTAAGCAAAAAATATAGTATTAGCTCACATTTCTATTAAATCACTAAAGAAAAACAAAGTGCTTAGCATTGGCCTGAGAACTCTTGGTCTAAGGGAACAATCTTAAGGGATATCGTTATTTAATAGCCCCTTACGGCAAAAGCACAAAATATAATGAAAGGGAGAGCACAGTTTAAGTCAGCTAGGTCACTGTTAAACGACCTAATTTGTATGATAGCAATGATGAGTGGGTCTGTAAGTAGCAGACCCTAAGGTGACAACAGTGGGGCTTGTGGCAGAACATGAAGCAAGAGAGCTAAAGTGGGATCTGGGGAAATTTCTAATGCTGAAATGCAAAGCAGTCCATGGTTTTGGGCAGTGAAAGCCTCTCAGCACGGCGTGTCACACTGCTTGGTCACTCTCACATGCTCCTGATGCTCAGTTCTAGCTGCTGCCTCACCGGGGATGGGAAGAAGTTTCTCTACTTGTGGGCTTTATGTAGTAGGTGCACATGAAGCCCAGCTGGGCCTGCTATATGTGCACGACATGCATAAGAACGGCAGGTCTGACACAGCTATGGAACCAGTGAATTTTTCCCCTATGCACCCAATATATCTTCCCCCCTTGTCCAAGGGTCTTCCACCATTGTGTGAGTGGTTACGAGCTCGTGAAGGAGAGTGCAGTGAGGGCTGGCAGGGAGTGTGCTGCTGCCTCTGGCTCTGCAGTAGATAGTTGTCTCTGGACGCCCAAGGGATGGGCGTAATACTTGCTAGAGCAAGCAACGGGCTAGACAAATTGTCCCAGATTTAGGCCATTGATTGAATAATCCTGACTGAAGATGTGTATTTGTGTATGGACAGATATTTGGGTGTGTGCATTTGTGTAGGCAGGGTGGAGGGAGAAGGAAGCAGATATGTGATTCTTTCTAACTGTTTGTAAAAAACATGATTAACACCAAATTTTGCATGCTCTTATACTGTAATGATTGTCATTTTAAAACTAGCTTTTTACCTTCGAGCTATCGGGGTAAAGACCTGCGGGAAAACTACTGTCGAAACCCCCGAGGGGAAGAGGGAGGGCCATGGTGTTTCACCACCAGTCCGGAGACGCGCCATGAAGTCTGCGACATCCCCCTCTGTTCACAAGGTAAGCCGGCATGGCTCATGCAGAAAGTTGCCTTTTCTCTGCTGACAGCAGGTACACACAATGAAACAATACTTCCAGTGACACTTGCTCGTGGACTTTGGAGAAAGAATAGGTGATTTCTCAGAGGGAATAACTCATGTAGCAAGAAAAGCAGTTATAAGAGAAAGAGATCTTGTTATGTTCCACTGCTCTGAAGACTTGAACAAGCTTTCAGGCTCAGCAGGTTTTGTTCAGGTGGCAGATGAGCTGGAACAATGCGGTTGTGCTGATGGCACAAATGTGACTCTTTTTTCACTTGTCTAGCCCATAGTGAATCCATTAACAATTTCAGTATTACTATGTAATAAAATCATCTAGTGCCATTCCATGGTAAAATCAACTTTTCTTCTTCTTCTTATTGAAAATATAGATATTGAACTACAGGATGAAAGCTCACTCTAAGTGTGCATTTTGTTTTTCAAATAAATACTGTAAATAAGTAAAACTTTTTATAAATCCAATCATATTCGACTTTCAAGTCACAGAATTCGAAAGGCACTTCATGTGCACCATTGCCTTTGTTGACTTTTAAGTTCTGTTAATGTCCAAACTAAACTCTTATATCTTGTTAATCAGCCAATTTATTTCCAGTCAATCAACCAATTTAAATTCTCAGGATAGGACGCCTTTAATTTTCCTGCTAATGTGTCATGTGCAATAGATATGCAGTGGTGGGGGGAGAAAGGGAGAGAGAGGGAGGGAGGAAGAGAGGGAGGAAGAGAATGATTTACAAGGAGCCTGAAAATCTATTAAAAGCTAAAGATCAATTTAAGTGAACTTCAAATGGGATAAGACCTGGAGCTCACTGCAGGATGAAGACTTTGGTAGTGGATGTTTTGACTGAAAAGTGAGATCTGTAATTGCATAAATTAATATTTACGAAGAGATCCTCCGTTACAATTACTCTAATTAGGAGGCACTTGAGAAATGCATCTATAGTTAATTATGGTGAATTTATTTTATATTCTAAGACTTCTTATTCTGAATTATGAAGCATATTTTGTTCAACAGTGATTTCAAGTCCCTTTGGTAGCTTTTGCCCACTCTCCTTCCACCCCCCACTTTCCCAAACCAGGGCTGAAAATGTATCATAGTTTAAGCTGCCACGAAGAATTAGTATCGAAAAGAAACAGTATCATATGTAGCTGAAAGTGCTGGGAATTTAAAGAGACAGACTGTAGTGCATTGAAATTGTGATTCAGCCATTATTCTGTACTTAAACTTGTGCTGTAATTATGCTAGAAATTAGAGTGATTTAGAATAATGAATGTTACTCAATTAGAAATTATCACCTCTAAAAAATACTCCTTCCTTAGATACGTCTCTCTCTCTGATACTAGCTATAAGTAAGGTTAAAAATCCGCTAGGAACATGAATGTCTCTAGCAGCTCACACCTACCTGCCTTCAAACCATAAGTGTCCATAAAGTGATATCAAATTTAAGCATCTGGATTAGATCTAAGAAAGAGATGCAATTCTACTCCAAAGGACATCTCCCATACCAACCTAACTAAAAGATATCACTTTTTTTTAATACATCTTTAGGTTGGTTTCAGTTTATAACAGCAGGGATACAATATAATTCCTTTTTCTTTTTTTTTTTTTTCCTGCTACAAGTCATCAGCATAATAAATGACTAGTACCTATTTTTTTTCCTAGTTGAATGCATGACATGCAATGGAGAGAGCTACAGAGGGCCAATGGATCACACGGAGTCAGGCAAGGAGTGTCAGCGCTGGGATCTTCAGAGACCACACAAGCACAAATTTCGTCCAGAGAGGTAACCTCTCCTCTCCCCCAGACAAATCCATGTGGTTATAATTTGAAAATTACACCCATTCTGGCAACAGTTGGGCAAAATCAGCATTAGCTGAACAGAAATTTATGGAGTTCACCAGTTTTAGCTGCTTGGGCTTCTGGCCTGTGGTGTGTGCAGGCTGGCTACTGTCACGATGGAGATGCAGGACAGGGAATAGAGGCTGTTTTGTGCAGTTGTGGCTACCTCCCATGGCTGTGTAGCGCAGTGATGTACATGCGTTGCATTAATTGATCAAAATTTCCTCCCCAGCTTCACTGACAGTAAAAAATTAACCTCTGAATCTTTCTGTATACATTGTTATGCAGCTTCAGTCAGCTTAAAATGCCTTAAAGTGATCACAAAGTAAATAATTATTAAAAGTCATAAATTTTTGTTAGAGTACTTAATACAATTAGTGAATGTAAACTTGCAACATTGTCAAGTAAGAATATGCTCCTTTTTTGAAATATTGACCAGCTTTAAAGCTGTAGATGGTCTTCTGTTGTAATCAGGTTTAAGTATGCAATTTTTTTGACCAAAATATTTGCCCACTACATGTGTTTTTTTCAGCCTGGGAAAGGAGTTCATCGTTCTGTTCAACATTTTATACACATGGATCTATATTTTAGCCTTTTTTTTTTTTTTTTTTTTAATTTAGGCATAGATACATAATGCCAAAAGATGAGTCAGAAATAGCAAGACAAATTACATCCCTGTTAGGGTTTTTCCTAGAGGGTAAAATTCACCCGACCGCAAAGGGTCATCTATAATACACCCTTTTGAAGGATTTTGTGTGGGGGTTTAGGCCACACAGGAGGGCCTTTGTGGTTCTCTTAAACTCATTTTAGTTTTTCTCTGGATTTTGGATTAATTCCATTTATAAAGTGGATTGAATAAACTTAAACTGCCAGAGGAAGACTGCAAGAATCAAGAAACTCAGAATGATTTAGACCTTCCACTGGAAGTATCTTTATATATGTTGAAGTGTTCCACTAAATAAAGCATCATTTTTATACTTAGAAATAAGGGTACTGGTAGATGTTAGAAAGCCTGATTATGCAGCAAAACATTAAGGATCTGCAGTTTCGGAGTTTACACGATATAACCTCTTTTTCCTCTTGGCTCAGATGATCTGCTTCATGAATAATAGCAGGCTCTCCCATAGTTCTGCTACAATAAATATTTTGTATTAGCAGGCTGGGACTGAAAATAATCTGTTTCTGAGTCTTGCCATGCACTTGCTGTGCATTCTAGAATAAGTCATAGAAATAATTTTGTTCCTTGGGAGTGAAACATTTATAGAACTTCTGGGTACAAACAATAATAATTTTACTGTCAGAAGGAAATTTCTTCTTTCCGTTAATCTTGGATTGTTTGCAAAATCACTTTTCAGACTAACTGCAGTCTCACGAACAATTGCTTTCCTCCTTGAAAGTTTTCTTTCAGGAAATGTGTTCTTGAGAATTTTCTGACTGTAATAAAAATGCTTTTTTATCAAAAAGCCATCTATCCAGGTCAAACTGATCCGTATGTGCTTTCAGAAGAGTAACTGGGGTCCAGTACATTTCTAATATACTGATATAAATTAACTTCATGGAATGTTCACTAAAGGTAGCAACAATTATACTTAGATTATACTAGCTTTTAGCAATGTGTGGGCTTTAGATTATTTGGGTTTTTTTTAATAGTTAATTAAGTTCAAAATAAGAGAGGAGGTGTGGAACAAATGATCCATTAAATGCAGCAATCTCTAGAGAGGTTTATACTATATCATCTAGGGGTAATGTGAATAACCTGGAAACCAGGAAGGACTAGCTGGACAGATTTAGACTTATATTCATTTATAGATTCATGAGTTGCAATGACAAAGAAAGACAGGTAAAACTAGTAATCTTTTCAAATGTTCCAGTCTATCTGCTGTTGGACAATGCTTTCAGCTCAAGGTGAATACATGTCACTTTTCCTTTTTGTCACCTCGATGAATTGTTCTGCATTTATTCCCTTCAGAGGTCAGTTACTGAAGAGAATTGATAACACCTGTTTACTTAGATGTGACTTAGGCTAAGGGTAGGAATTCCCCCAAACAGCTCCTGCACAACCCGTTTTTAACAGTTAGTGGATGCAGAATTGTATTCTGAAGCTCCAGTTCTCTCGTGTACTCCTTATCGGCAGGATTATGCCTCAGTATGGAAGGAAGACCACTGAGGATAGTGACTTGGATAGGTGTAGAGCAGCATGCAGAAGCAACAGTTTTCTCCATTTCTGCTCATATTTTCTGCTGAAAATCAAATATGCTGTGAAAATAGGTACTTATTGCATGGAAGAAAGTAGGGTTGAAGTGTAGTATAAAAGTTGAATAACTGCAGGTATCCTTTTATTAAAATACTCTTGTTTATATCTCCTGTATGAAAATTTACTTTACACAAAATCAAGTTTCCAGTCCTGCATGTCTTCTAAAACAAAAAGAAGGGGAAAAGAAATATTGGTGAAAAGTTTTAGACACTAAGTTTCAGTTTAATTCCAGCAGAGCTAGAGATCAGCATCTGTCTCTTTAAAGAGAATAAATGTTATCTCTTCGTCTAACACTCTTCTTCACCGCCCCAGAAACTGAGAAAAAGTCTTGATTTTGACACCAGGTGTGTATCTTAATGTTTCATTTTAGTTTCACCAGTGAAGTACAGCTACTGCAGTTTCAAGGGGGAAAAAAAAAAAAAAAAAGAAATATGTAGGGTTCTGAAAGATCTTGGAAACCTCAGGCTGTTTGTTGGGTCTAAGCAAGAGGTCTGTGCCCAAGTGTTCTGGGGAAGGAGGACTGTGCAGAGCAAAGGGACAAGCTCTTAGTAAATCCTCCACAGTCTCACTGTTGAATTGTGTGGAACATTTTGAAACCCTGTTGTTTATCTTACCCCCAATATTTGTGTCTTAAAGGTTAGTTGGCCTTTTCTATAGGAACTGAGGAACAGTTTGCTGGATATGAAGGCAGGCAGAAGCATACCTGAATACTGTGGGAAGAACCAGTGACTGGGAAGGCTGTTGCTCTAGAAAAGAGCACATAGATATAGTAGATGGAAAGATACAGTTCACAGATACTACTCCATCCAACAAAGACAGCCAAAGCTTGATCCTGGAAGAACTGTTACATCTCGACCTAAGTTTTAGTTAGTAAACAACGTATTTTTTATATACTGTGGGAACACATCATATAATATTAGGTAGAACAGAGCATTCAGTGTTATGAAAGACACCTTCTAGAGAGTGCATGCCCAGCTGTGTTGAATGATCCTTAGGAGCTATGACGGCAGATACCTTGCCATTCCTGGATTCATCTTGGTCCCTGGGTAGTGCCATAGACTCTCCATTACTACATGACATGAAGCATGCGCTGCCAACATCAAAGCTCATCACTGCACCTACTGGGTGGCCAAAGCCATCTCATTTTCTACCATATTATTAACCCATTAACTGTTTTCTTGTGAAATCCCTGAATAGAATTTTTCCTTTACAGTTTATCTTCTATCTAGCAGAAAACAGGGTACTGCTGCTAGATCTGAAACTACCACATTCTTGACTGCCCTTGAATTCTCAGTTTTATGAAGTTTCTCCTTGGTGGTTTTAATGTTTTGTTTCTCTGTTTTGGGTTTTTTGGGGGGGGTTGATCTTTTTTTTTTTTTTTGGGCGGGGGGGGGGGAGGGGTAATTATACTTAAGTCCTGCCTCTGTCCCTTGTATAGATGAAGGAACCTGTTTTTTTCCCAAGAAATGGGAGATCAAGCTGCAAATGCATGAGTCAAAATTAAGATGATTGTTTGACAGAAAAAGCATCCTAGCAAAAACACAGTCTTGTAAATCATCTTTTCCTCTGCTTGTGCAAAACACATCTGCTTGCAGTTGTAAATGGGTTCGGGTTCCCAGGTAGTTAACTTTATTGTTCTCTGACATACTTTTCATGTTTCCCTCAGAGGAAAAATCTACTTTTTGTTTCTTTTGCAAACATGTTTCAATAAAATTGGAAAACCAGGACAATTTGTATTCACTGGAGAAAAAAGTATGCATTTATCTCCTTCTCTTTAAGCTTATAGATATCAGTATAGCACATTTACACAAAAAGAACCTCCTTATCTCGAAAATCTGCCTGATCCTTCAATTATGGCGGTAGGAACATGGAAACAATTAAATAGCACAATAGTTTCAAATCTTAATGAGATAAAGTGAGACGGAAGTTAATTCCATATTTTTTTCTTTTTTCCCCAATGCTTGAAATGAGGGCATGACCTAGAATGAGCTCTATTACAAAAATGGAGTTATCACTAGTAACATAGCTATTCAAAATAGCTTCCAGTTTGAACCCAGGGCTATTGCACTGAAGAACCTGTTTTCTTAATGAGCCCGGCATGCCAGGCAGTGTTTATATAATCCACGCTTAATTGGGCTGTTTTAAAAAAATGAGTGGCTTTAGAGTCTGGCCATCAGTTGACAGACAGAAGAGCAAGAGTTTAGCAATTAGCAGAGTTACCCCATCCGGTATCCTGTGCATTAGCACAGCAGGGAATCCCCTCAGTGGAGGTCTGATTTTGCTGCATATTTGGAAAAAGATTTTATTTTATTAATGTTCTAGTAGTGTTAAAAGAGTATCTGCATTCGTCTCACAGGATCAGACCCAAGGTTAGTGGTAACTCGTTCTTGTTTACCTCTGCTGAAGACTGTCCTTTAAGTACCTTGTACAAGCCTTGCAGTGTTGCCAGGAAGGGTTCCCTGACACGTTTCTCATTGTGGTTTGCAGATATCCTGACAAGGGCTTTGATGATAATTACTGCCGCAATCCTGATGGCAAGCTGAGACCATGGTGCTACACTCTTGACCCTAACACCCCTTGGGAGTTCTGTGCAATTAAAACGTGTGGTGAGTTCAAGCAAAATTTATTACTTCCTTTTCCCTTCCAAAATCTGGACACAGATACTTTAAGCAATATAGGACCACAGCTAGTTCCTTCATTGCACTTCACTGACTTTTAAAACAGCTTTCAAAGAGGATGTCCTATAAAGACATTATATTTAATCTGGACAGGAAATAAAAAAGTTGTGTGTTATTGAGCACTGGAATATGTATACATGTTATGCACAGGAAATTGCATTAAAAAGTAGGAAAACCAAGAACTAAAAAACTGAGACAACATCATCATGAAGATCTCATGTACAGTATTAGTTTGGCCATGCTGGGCATCTGCATTACAGTTTGGGAGTAGGTGCATGCACAACTTCCCTCCTCAGTGCTCTCTCTGTCAACAACTGTTCATTGCTTTGTTTCCCTCTTGCACATTGTGCAGTTCTAGGCCTCAGTTCCTGCACACGATTCAGCATTCTGCTGAAGACAGAATTAGTAATTTCCTCATGGGTTTCTCTGTGATATTCAGCACTCCATTATCAAAGGCCTCCACAGGCAATTAATTTCATCTGTTGATGACAAGACGGTGGCTTTTGTTATCCTCACTTTACAGATAGGGAATTGAATCAAAGTAACATTAAGGTATACAAATATTGGATGCCTACTTTGAGATGCTTTAGTTCAGAATTTTTAGAACATTCTGTGGCATGTTCTGTCTTCAACATCCAGATCCTCCTAACTTTGGTGGTAGCTCTGACATCTCTGTTCTACTCATAATTAGATGTCTTAAATGAGCAGTACAGTGACAACAAGGAAGGTGAAAATATTGGACCTCCCTTGAAAACTTGGGTAAAGCAGTTTTTCTAGACTTTCATGGTAATGCTGGGGCTTAGGCAGATGGCAGAAATAAGTTTTGTTGGGACATGCTTTAGTCAGGAAACTGAGATTTACACCCCTGAAATTCCTTGTCTCATTCACAGCTTGTCAGATCTACAGGTGATAGCCATAGAATCATAGAATCATAGAGTTGTTTAGGTTGGAAAAGACCTTTAAGATCATCCAGTCCAACCATTAACCTAACACTACCAAGTCCACCACTAAACCAGTTAAGGGTGAGTAGCAACCCCACGCCTCCTGGTTTGGTGGCTGGATCATTTATAATGAAAGTAAAAACTAGGAATCATTAAGATTGGAAAGGACCTCTAAGATCATCATTCCAATCATCAACTCAACACCACCATGCCCACTAAACCATGTCCCGAAGTGCCACGTCTACCCGTTTTTTGAACACTTCCAGGGATGGTGACTCCACCACCTCTCTTATCTCCCATATTTCTCATTGCCAGGTTTGACATTCAATTTTTTGCCCTTAGTGAACTGACAGCATGTGAACAACATTCAATCAATGTACAAACATGATATTAAAGGTAGTCTCATAATACCCAGGCAGATTTTTTTATTCTCTTTACTCAAAATACTTTGTTTATAACATCTTGGAAATAAAGGAAATTTCTGAAAACAAGGCATGACTTTAACTGAATCCATACTGTAGAAGCCTGTCAGCTTCATGTGCCCCAGCCCTGTGGTAGAACATCCAGGAATACAGGCAGAAAAGGGAAAACAGTATTTTTGGATTTTCCTTGAGGTAGAGGCAAAGGGAAGCCTCTAAATCTGCTCATTGAAACTCAGTGTCATGTTAGCTCATGAGAAAGTCAGTTTCTATTAGATCTGCAGTTTTGGAAACTACAATTTTGTTTGTTGTCCTGCTTCAATTCTGACCAAAATTAAGTGTTAAAAAAACCCCCTTGAAACCAGACACTCTGGTTTTCATCTAGCTTTAAGTGTCACTTCAGTAGGCTTATGTCATTGTAAAATTAATTTGGTTCTCTTGGGAAGAGGGTAGAAGAAGAGAATAGATTCTATTAAAAAACCCAATAAAGCTCACCTGGAGCTGGATTTACATGAGAATTCAGAAAAAGGGCAGGGGGAGGGGAGAAGAAAAATAATAATAAACATAAAAAGAGTGATTTTTAATGACTGTAATTTTCAGGGTTCTCTGTATTTTCTTGTTGTTTGTCATATAAACCAACATAAACCATTACCGGAGTGTCTAAAACCCAGATAAAATAGAGACAGTAGTGGATCTTACAAAAAGTCTGTTTCCATAATGTAATCCTGTGTTTTTGCTATGATATTAGCATATATGTAAATACTGGAAGGGGCAGAGAAGAGGGAATGGCTCTGGCAGGAACCTTTATGTGTGAGTAGCTTTGCCTAAAGGGCAAAGCATGGGATTCTCTGTCTTCACTTGGAATTCTTACCAAACCCAATTATGTCATGTATTCTTCTTCCACCACCAGTAGCTCAGAATTTTCTCTCCTTGCTTGTTCTTGGTTTAGGGCAGTGTAATGTCTTGGAGTGTCAGTCACTTCTTAGTCAATTGTTTGAAATCCAAAGGTTGAGTAAGAATACTCTTAATGTACTTCCTGATGCAGAGTAATTGAACTTATTCTGCGCTATCATATGTCATTGTAAATCCAGTATAAGGTGGTTAAAATTAGCAACATTTTTCCACTGTAAAAAAGTGAAGTTAATTTGCTAGTTTGGGCAATGGCTGCGATAAGGTTCTTCAGAGACAGAAGAAGCTTAACAGGACTACTGCTTGTTTTGTGTCAGGCACCCATTAAGTCACACCCATGTTGAAAGTCTTGCCTGTGAACTACAATATTAATTCATGTAATTATATCTACAGTTACTGATAATCTTTGATAATGGGGAAAGTTCAGTCTTTCTACAATGTGAACACAGTCTTGCTTAGCTCTATAACTGAATCATCTTTCCAATTTTTTAGTTAATTCATTAAATTAGGGGTTGTTCTTGTTTTGGATTTTTGGTTTGTGTTTTTTGGGTTTGGTTTGGTTTAGTTTTGTTTTTTTTTTTTAAACTAAACTGTGCTTCCTACAATTCTCTAATTATTAGATAATATATGAATCATATGTAGCATACTAGATCTGTTCTTTTCCCCTGGTAGAAGTGTTTTTATTATGAAAAAAAAAAAATATTCCTAAGTTACAGCTGACTGTTTCACAAATGCAACGTTTATAAACCTTTATCCTTTGGCATTTCCTGAACTAATGTGTCAGTGTTCTGAGGAGTCACATCTGGCTTTGTTGGTCACGTAAACTTACAGTCCATGCAACTTTCAGTATCTGCAGTCTGGCCTAAGCTTTATGAAATAGTTAGGTGGGAGATCTCCTGCAAACTACTGTAATGTCACCTTTGTCTACCCAAGTCACAGTTTGAGTCCTGAAAGAAAGGTAGTAAACAAAATGACATTTAAAAAAAAAAAAAAAAAACAAAACCCAAACCACAAAGTAATGATTTTAGTGTTTTGATGAAAGCCTTTTGTCTCATTTCTAGGCAAAAGTTGACTGAATTAGGTAGAAATTCTTTCATGTTCAGTTAGAAAGTATATTAGGATCAGTGGAAATTTCACATGCAAAACTGTATTTTCACTGCAGAAAACTGTAGAACTTTGGAAATTACTGAAGCAATCTATATGAGGAAGAATACAAAAGTAGTGATCTTGAAAGTGCTTGATCCAGCAGATCTTTTCCAAGGATGTTTAGCACAGCATATGGCATTGCCCTCCACATCAGATGCGATGCTGCTCACCACTTTCCTTTAAAACCCAGAGAGGGAATTTATTGCTGATAGTACTATCATATCACCAGCTCGGTGACCAGAATACCAACACAAAATATGGAAGCCCTGTTTTCAGTCTTCTGTCTTTCTTGAGGCACATACAAAAATTTTTCCCACCTCCTAGCAGGGAGCCCAAAACACTAGGCCATTCTGGGTTTCAGCGGCTGCTCCATTTTCTGAAGCTGTTGTCTGTGTGCAATCTCAGTACACTAAAAAGAGAACATCATGAGTTATATGTCTTTATTGCTTCATGGTTTGGATTCTCACACAGGTTTTTAATTCCTATGCTGAGGACCATTTATATATTTTACAAGAAATACTAATTAGAAAAAATGCTTTGCAAATCCAAGTCCTTGGACTGTATACAAAAACGTAGGTGTCCTCTCCCTGGGGGGAGTGACCACAAGGTAGCATGCTGCTTGTGGCTTTTGCTACATGTCATGAGTGCTAGTATGCTCTGTAGCCAAAATGCTGACAACAGCTCATATACAAAATTTTCGGCAAAAAAGTCAGTGGAAGGAAGCATTCAGAAAATAAATATGTTTTTAAGACTGAAGAGACAGGAGGGCATTGTAACTTTATTTCCAAGCACAGAAGGCAGCATAAAACACTGTGGCTTACAGCCAGGGTTGTGAGAAAGAGATGACAGGAGCAATTAGGGATTAGAGATGGCTCAAGCTGCAAAAATTGGATCTGGATTAAGACTTCAGGGACCCCAGGATTGGTTTGAAGTTGCTCACATATGTGCCTGTGGTTTTGGCTTGAGACAATTCTTAGTTAGAAGAGAGGATAAAAGGACAACTATAACAGCAATAAAGAAGTGTAGGATGAAATGAAGAAATGGAAGCAGTGACAGCAAATATGAAAAAAGAAAATGACTGTTACTTTGGCATGGATGAAGACATGGACTACAGGGAAGACAGGAGTGGGGAGCTAATAGTGCTTTTTAAAAAAAGGATATCCACACTTCTGTGGATGAGCTATAGGGCTATAAGGGAGGTGCTGAAGCCCAGAAATGAAGGTATATGTCAGTCATTCAAGAGCTGTAGAGCTATATGGAATTATTATGGTAAGGACAGTGTTTGGTTGCTTCCTTCCTGATTTCCAACCAACCCAGCTGACTTTACCATGGATTTAGCCTTTGCTGTCAGTACTCATAGGCAATAGGCAGGGGTGACTGGAGCCCAAAAAACCCTGAGAGAATTCAGTAAGGGTCTGGGTTTGATGGGAAAGAGCAAGTAATGAAACAGGAAAATTGAGAATCTAAGTGTAAAATGAACCATTGCAGTGTGCCTACAACTTTTGGGAAGGCA